TCTGGGTCCTGCCATTCCCTTTCCCTCCCTCACGTCAACCGTTCTGAACAGGAACCGCTGGAGAATGCTTTAGCTTGGCTCTGGCTGAAGCAGAAGGAAGAGCATGATGGTATGATTCTACTAATTTCTGTAACTGATGCTTCTTGAATTCTCACTACATCTCACATGTTCGGGAGCCACTGGAAATACAGACTTGGATTCTTGAATTCCATGGTTAAAAAAATTAAAAACAATCTGTTAACTAAAATTCAAAGTTAGCAGACTTGGTGATAATAGATTCTGCAATGTGAATTCCTTGGGCTCCGGAGCTGGCGCCTTTCTCGCTAATCTGTTTTTCCATTCTTCCTTTCAAACCATGATCACTGTTCCCTTGCAGGCTGTGCCTTCTCCATCTCTCTGGTTTCTGAATCCAGGCCTCTAGATAAGGCTCTGTTAACAGTCATACAAATGAGAGGGTAGGTATCTGCTGCCAAGGTAATGAAAACAGTAGGTGATTAACAACTGCTTTTATAGGGTACTTACATAGGCATTCGGCACAATGGCAAGGATGCTGTTTAGGATGCCCTGCTCTGCACCCGATTCCAGCAACCTGCTAATATACCTCTTGGGGGGCAGCAGGTGATAGTTAAAGTAGTTGGGTCCCTACCACCCACACTCAAGGTCTGGATGAAGGTCTGGCTTTGAACTGGGCCAGCCCCAGATATAGTGAGCATTTGGGGAGTGAACCAGCAGATGGGAGATTATCTCTATGTATCTCTGTATATATTTCTATCTTCCCCTCTCTCCATCTCTATCTTTGTTGTTTGTGGAAAATTGAATTAGAAGATGTTTATTTTGGTGCAAGATTTTTTGAAGTCCACGCATATGAGGAATTTTCAAAAACTTCATGGAAATATATATTATCAAAAAGAAACCTAGACATTGACTTAAAAATGTTTTGCACCAAAGTAAAATTGCCTTTTAATTCTTCCACGAACTTTTTGAAATACTCCCACACCCCATATCACTGTTGATCTACCACACACTCAGTATCAGAAGAATGCCACATGTCTGTGTGTGAGCTCACTAATAACAAAGTGTCACTTACTTTAGACTCCGTGACATCTATGTACTACCCACCCCTTCTTTGTACACCCGTCCACAGGCGAGAACACACTTGTGTCCCTTAGGTTTACTCCAGTGTGACTGTCAGGGCGCCTGTCAGTTGGGTGGGGGGGATGTGGTCACAGCATTGCCACATTGCGGCCTGGCTGATGTGAATGATGAGCAAGCCACTGTGTCTCCAAACAGCCTTGCTAGAGCAGACGGGTGCCCTGAGGAGCTCCCCATTCTATTGAGGAAGTCGTGAAAGAAACTTCCGGCATTGTCCTCTGTGTCCCTGTGTGACAGGAGTCCCAGTGAGGATTCAAGGGGCTCCCGGGCCCTGTCACGGAGGGGAGACCCCAGGACTGCGTCGCCTTCATACTGGAGCCGTGTTTCTATTTCCAGCACAGGGATGACTCAGGACTGGGGCCTGTGCAGCACCCCCTTCCCCTTGTGTTCTGTCCTGAATCACTTAAGGACAGTGTTCTCTCTGTGGCTGATGAGCTGCGCTGGAGGTGGCGGGAGAAAGGAATGCCAAAGGCAACCAGACCGAGTTCCCTGCTGCTGCTCCCGCTCACGGGGTCCACGTAGCTGCTCCCAGAAGAGGGTTCTGGAAAGCTAATCTCTGGTGTATCCGTTACCCAGGGTCACCACAGGGAGCACACAAGCTTTGGCTTTTCATTACATTCTTTGCATAATGACACCAAGTCCCTTCACTCGCCTGCCAGGGAGCACACAGAATGCAGACAAGGTTCTTGGGAGCAAAGCCCTCTCTCTCTCTCTCTCTCTCTCTCTCTCTCTGTCTTCTCTGCTCTGGATACCAAGCAGGCTGTGCACAGGGCGGGATTCCCTGGGATCACTCCAGGTCATATCTGAAGCATCAAGCTGAAGCCAGGTCCAGCTTTTACTTCTCCCACCCAGAGTTACCAGCCATGTGCCCATTTCTGTCTCATCGCTTCCATCCCCAGAGGGCAAGGAGAGAAAGGAGAGAGCGGGTAAATTTGATGGAAAAGTGGATAAGGAAGAAGGTGGGAAACACCAGTCAGTATTAACCGAAAGTTCCTTTGCACAGGGCACAGCTGTGTTTCACAACATTTCTAATCTTTTTCTCTCCCCATTAAAAGGCAAGAGTTTATTTCCCTCCTTCCTGAACCCAGATGGAAAATTTACAGTGTCCTCAACCAGCGCAAAGTGGCAGCACTGGCCTTGAATGGCTTCCAAGCCTGGGTGATACAAGGCATCACACCTTGCACCTGCTTCTGGTTGTCTCCTGGGCCTCTAGCACTTGGAAATCAGCACCATGTTGTGAGGACCCTGGATGGGCCCAAGTACAGAAACCTGATACAGAGGCCCACACACAGGCACCGGCCAGCATCAGCCAGGGGTGCTGTGTGATGGGCCGTGGCACTGCCTGACAGTGATCAAAACTGGGAACGTACTGCAGCTGGAGGTGGGTGCACAGCACAACCACACTGTGGGCCCTGCAAGGGTAGCCACAGTGGATGCCCCAGCAGTTCTGCACCCCGAGGGCCTGCCTGAGCCCACAGCTGTACAGTCCACACCCTCCAGCTGGGCAAGCCCCCAGTCTTGGGCCTATTGTGACTGCATGAGGAAGCTGGTGGTGAACTTGTCCCTTGTCTCTGTGACTCACTCAGCAGATGTCCAGGGGGAGTGGAGTCCACATAAGCCAGCTCCTGAGGCTGGCACTGTGGCATAGTAGGTAAAGTCGCCACCTGAAGTGCCAGCATCCCATATGGATGCCAGTTCAAATCCCAGCTGCTCCTCTTCTAATTCAGCTCTCTGCTATGGCCTGGGAAGGCAGTAGAAGAGTTCTTGGGCCCCTGCACCCATGTGGGAGACCTGGAAAAAAACTTTTGGTTTCTGGCTTTGCATCGTAGCAACTCCAGCCATTGCAGCCAATTGGGAGTGAACCATTGGATGGAAGACCTCTCTCTCTCTCTCTCTCTCTCTCTGCCTCTTCTTCTCTCTCTCTGTAACTCTGACTTTCAAATAAATTAATAAGTCTTAAAAAAAAAAAAAAAAAAAAACAGCTCCCATCTGGGGGCCTGGCTGCAGGCTGGGTTTACTTCTCAGGAGCCCAAAGCTGGACCAGGCCAGATGTGGCAGGGAGGTGGCCTGGGGCCAGCCACTGGAAGCCCTAGCCCCTCTCTGCACTTGCAAATTAAATGGTTTTCATAGACCGTGTGTGCGGGCATTGATCTAGATTTCAGGTTCTATGGGTGACAGATCTCATTTCTGGAAATGGTTTGTTACATTTCTTACATGAAAAGGTAAATAACTACCAAGTCAGATTTTTAGACTTGTTATCTCCTTTCTAGCAATTTTTAATAATATGAGGGATCTTCAAACCCTCTTAAAACAAAAATTTAAAAACAGCTTCCAGGGGCCAGCACTGAGGCATGGTGGGTAAAGCTGCCACCTGTGATGCTGGCATCCCATATGGGCTCCGGTTCGAGTCCTGGTTGCTCCACTTCCAATCCAGCTCCTTGCTAATGACCTGGGAAAAGTAGTGGAAGATGGCCCAAGTACTTGGGCCCATGCCACCCATGTGGGAGACCCTGGTTTTAGCCTGGCACAGCCCTGGCTGTTGTGGCCATCTGGGGGAGTGTGCCAGCAAATGGAAGATTTCTCTCTCTCTCTCCCTCTCCCTCTCCCTCTCCCTCTCCCTCTCCCTCTCCCCCCCTCTCTCCCCCTCTCTCAATAACTCTTTCAAATAAACAAATAATTAAAACAACAACAACAACAACAAACCTTCACACTTGCGAGTGATGAACTGTCAGATGGAGGTTGACAGAGCTCAAGAGCACACTGTCTGGTTTACGCCACTAGGCTTCGCATCAGCCAGAGTAACTGGAACATCTCCTATCACTGCAGCCGCAACAAGAGAACCCATGCTGAAGTATACGGAGGGGCTGTGTGCCTGTCCTCCCACTGTGGTTATTCACACCAGCTGGAAGCGATCGGCGCCTGGACTCACTAGATAAGGAAACTGAGGCACGAAGCATTGCCCTTCTAGATTCTTAGAGGGGGAGAGATTCAGTCTCAGCCTTAAGGCCTCCCTCCTCTGGTAACCAGGTTCTGGAATTACCCCCAAACAACAACAAACGGGAGAACAAGTAGAACAGATATTACTTGATGATAAGAAGTTTCTATAGAACTTTCACAATCATTGCCTCATTAGTGAGTCACCGCACTGGTTTCCTGATGGCAAACCTAGCTCTCCTCCTCCATGCCATTTCCAGTTGGCCATCTCTAACCCCAGGCCGTGCTGCCCAGCCAAAGTGGCCATACAGCCTCAGGGTCATTGCACTGAGTTGCATTCCCTCTCTCAAGGGCCCTCTCCCTCTTACGATGGTTTGAATGAGTCTCTCACAGTTCCCTGGGAATGTAGTCCCCGATGCAACAGCCCCATTCAGGGCTCTGGCTTCCTGAATGGATGGACGTCATTGTTCAGGGAATTAACTGGCTTGTAATAAAAGCAAGTTTGCTTCCCTCTTGCGTGCTGTCTCTTCCTCTTGTGCACCTGTTCTCCTGCCTTACCACCTTCTACCATGGGGTGATGCGACCAGGAGGCCCTCATCAGATGCAGCCCCTTGGTCTCAGATTATCCCCCCTCTAGAACCATGAGCCTAATCCATTTCGATACATTATAAATGCGACAGCCTGTGGTATTCTGTTGTGGCACACAAAATGGACTAAGACACCCTGCTCATCCCTTAAATCTGCACTTACTGAGGAGGGACCTTCTGCTGTGCACGGCTCAGAGGAGCTCCTGCAAGACGGAGCCGGAATCCTCTGCTGGTGAAAGCACTGCATTTCGGGGTGTAATAAGTTATTGGGCGGAGCTTAAGCAAGTTCAGCAAGGATGATCTCAGAGTTCTCTAAGGACCTGCCGTGTAACCAAGTCTAGAGCCCAGGACTTCTCTACTCGCAAGCCTCCCGTGACACGCCGTCCCAGGTCTCCCGTGGGTACGCACCTTTGCCTGTTGACTTTGAGTTTCCACAGTCATTTTTGACCATAACCACATTTAAAGGGCATCTCTCAAGATCAAAGTGAGATTGTCCTCCCACAGAGAATGATCTCAGTGCTGAAAAGAATAAAGTGCTGAATATGGAAACTCACAGGAAGGGGGAAAGGAGGTTCGTCGGAGCCCCACGCAGAGGATTTTACGGTGTGTTTTACTTTCTGTTTCCTTGCAGTGGGTCTGCTCACTCTGCAGGCTGCTTTTTCTCGATGACAGTGGGAAGAGCCGGAGGTAAGCTGTTCTCTGGTTATGCACAGTTCATCCCATGAGGCCACCTGGGGGCCGAGCTCCTGTCTGATAACAGAGGTGGACCGTGTGGCCAGGACAGGGCAGAGTGCAGGTGGGAGGGTGGGCTCGCTGTGGCTACAAAGCTCAGATGTATTCTCCCGCCCGTCCTGGTAGGTGGGAAGATTTCAGTAAGCCCAGGGGTGATGACAAACAAGGGGCTGCCAAACATCAGAACCAAACCTGGACGCCCTGGGGAGAACAAGGCGGGGAGGGCCACAGTGCAGGGTGGCCACCAGGGCAGGCCAGCAGAAGGGTTTCCCTGGAAATTTTGCCTTGTGCACTGATTCTGCCCGATTGCTCCAAAGTGGCTGCATCAGCCATCTGCCTGCTGTGGTCTGGGTGCTTGTTCCCCAAAGTCATAAATTCAGAGTATTTGGAAGTGGGGCCTTAGGGAGGTGACGGGATTTCAATGAGGTCATAGGGTGGGGCCCCAACAATTGCATTAGTGGCTTTATAGGAAGGGGAAAAGACACCCAAGTTAGCAAGCTTGGTCTGCCTGCTCACATGCTGCCCCGTCTTGCCCTGAGCTCTGCAGAGAGCGGCCACCAGCAAGAAAAGCCTCACTAGATGTGGAACGGATGCTGGTACGGTGCTGCTGGACTTCCAGAACTATGACCTAGTAAAGGCCTCCTCTCGGCAAAATAGCCAAACAGATGGACCGAGATGCTGCACACAGCTGGCTGTGTTGCTGCTGCTCTGAGTGCCCTCCTCACCCCTCCTTCTCTCCTGGGACAATGAAAGGATCAGGGATGGGCATGAGGGCCCTCCAGGACCCTGTTCCAAGACAAAGGGTTGGTACCGTGGTGCTTGTACAATACAGGTTGTTAGAGAATTGCACCGCGCCTGGCACAGACAACAGTTTTCAGATACCAGGGATGGGGCGGGGCAGATCTGGCCTCAGCTGTGAGCGATCCCTTTCCTGCCCAGGAACCCTGGCTATGTTGGCTGCAGGTGGAGTGAAAAGGCCAAGGGTGAAGGAAGCAAACCACTCCATTGCTCTCCTCCCTGCACAGGTTATTGCTTTGAATTCCACCTTAACCAAAGGCCCCAGCTACCTGCTGGGTCAAGTCAGAGCTTGGCTGGCTGTGATGTGGGGCAAGCTACCCAGCCTATTGGTTCCAGGACACTTACACTGCCTTCCACGGAAGCTTTTCTTGATGAGTGGCCAGACTCCCCAACCCCAGAGAGAGCTAAACACATGGGGAAATGGTCCTCTGTGAGGAGTGCCCGCAGTGCTCCACTGCAGGGACAAAGAACAGCCTGGAAGCCAGGACACAGCTCCCAACCTTTCCTGTAGCTTAGAGAGGGCTGTAGGGCTTCCCCCTGAAACCTGGTCTTTTTTGGCAGCTGGGCCAAGAGGCTCTCAAGCTAGGCCTGCACGGACAAGAGAGGTCTCTAAGAGACAAGAGAAGGGTGGGAGCGAGGCCCTTTAGATGTGGGCTCCCCCGGGGGCAACAGACACTTGTGCCCAAGGGTGGAGAATCAGAAAGCACAGAGGAGAGAAGGAAGTGACAGGGCAGGTGCCCTCATGTGTGGGTCACCGGGAACACTCCAATTCTTTTCCTCAAGGACCTATTTGACACCCTAGGCACCCTGAAAAGGGGAGCTGCATCCATCTTATGTTGTTCCTGGCACCTAGCAAGGGTATGATACGGTACTTCAATGGATGAAAACCACAGAGCATGATGGGAAATGCAGAGGCCCTTCCTCCCCGGACAACACCTCCCACCACCATCCAGATGTCCCATGCCATCTCTGTGCTTTGGGGCAATTTCAGCAAAGCCTTGCCCCTCAGGCAGATCCACGGCCACCTACAGTGACCATGCCTTGTTCCAATTTGAACAGGCAGCCAGAGACTGCTCCCCACAATAGCCACTTGAGGTCCTGTTCCTTGAACCATGCTCTCATCTGACAAGGTCCGTGTGTGATAGTTGCCATGGCAACTGGGGCCCTGAGAGTCACGGGATGCCCACAAGGAAACAGGCTTGGGGTGGTGGGAGGGGAAACCTTCGGTCCCACCTGTCCAGCCACACGGGAGGACCCCCTAGGCTCACAGAGCAGCCATTTGGTGGGGCTGCCACCTGCCAGGGACAACACCCCTTCAGCACAGCACAATTTTGGTCTGTGTCCTTATGGGGCAGAAGGGGAAGAGGGAGGCCTGGAATCCGGTTCCCAGCTCCCGTGGCTGCTTCCTTTCCGTGATGCATGGCCGCGGAGCCCCGCTTGGTGACCTCATGCCCACCGAGTTGGGAGGCTATGCAGCCTCGAGTCCTGTGGGTGCAGTATTTCCAAGGCACACATCTGGATGAGCCATTCTACCCAGGGCGTATTTAGCTGCTTTGTGGCCCTGGGGCATATGGTTACCATCTTGTAGTGGCTGGGAGCCCTGGAAGGAGGTGGCGACTAAGGGGGTCCGTTTCGGGGCTGGCTGGGAAGGCCTGGGTCCTGTCCCTGCCTAACCCCTCTGTTCTGTTCTGGTCCTGCTTCCTCCTGCCCTCTGTTCATTCTCCCTGCTGTCTTCTTTCCTTGTTCCTGCCTCCTGTTCCAGTGCTTCTCCTTCTGCCGAACGCTATTGTGTCAGAGCTGCCATCCCTCCTCTCACCCCTTTCTGACCAGCACTCCCGACCTGTTCATGCATATTTAGTATCTCACACGTGTCTTGGTTGCTCTATGGGTGTCTGAGTGATAATGACAAAATCAGCTTCCCTCCCCCTTTCCACAGTCAGCCTGCCCCACACAGGACTGCCTTCGCCATCCCCTCTGCCTCATCAAATCTCCTTCCATCATCACACTGGTGCGCACCTCCAGTTCGGCCCCCTCTTCCAGGAAGTCTCCCTGCCTGCTCCAGCCCACCACAGTAATTCTGCGGAGAGCTGTCAAATGCTCTGCCTTCACCACCCATTTGCCACTTTATCTCAGATCGCTTTGTCACAGGGGCTCTTATTCCTACACTTGATCTTAACAAAAGGCCGAGAAGCGACTGGGGGCTCTTATTTCTATTTAACTCTTGCCTTACATCACCTCCACCTAGATCGTAAATCCCTCAGGACAGATTCCCTCCGTGCTTTTCTGTACACTTATTATCTGAGTCCCTTGATCCCCCCATCTGTAAAATGGGCACAGTGACAGAACTTATTCCAGGGGCTGAAATGGAGGTTGAGTGAGTTGACACTCGTAGGGAGGTCTCCACTGGGAGACATTGAAAAAGCTGTCATCTTGAAGGCACTGCCCAAGGAACCAGAATGTAGGGATCTGAATTCAGCATCTACCACCTGCTGGTCGGGAGAACCTAGGCAAGTTCTTTCATCTCTCTATGCCTCTATTTCCTTTTTGGTAAAATGAGGGCATTCACATATTCCAAGCCTATCACATAGCAAGCACTCCCTAAATGTCATCTCATTACAGCTCACAAGTTCTAATGTAGGAAGAGCACTCCATCCCTCTGGGCTTATCTCTTTACTTATCACATAAAAGGACTGAACTGGACAGTCTGCAAGATCCCTTCCAGGGCTACAACCCTAAGATTTAGCAGCAGAGTGATGCTGTAAGCCCGTTTGTCTGAAAGAGTCCCGTGGTATGACTGTTGTTCCAGAAAATGCTTGTTGGTGCCTCTTTTCACTTTCAAAATTATCCCAGTTTGGATGATGCATTACGTGGCTACTGTATGAGTAAACTCGAGGTATCTCTGTGTGCACTGGCTTCATGGGCTACTGCTTGTCATCCTTTCTGTCTTTCAGAGAAGAGCTAAGGGGAACTGAGGACAGCCTGCTCCAACTCGAGAGGCCAAGTGTCCACCCCTCACGGGCCTCCGACTCCATCTCCGGTGCACAGCTGGTCTCTCCATTGGCAGCCACGCTCAGAGCAGTCACCCACTGGGTTGGCCTTCATCCTTGTTGGGCCTGAGTGCCAAACCTAGGCAGTCTGGCACTGAGGCCTCCTGTCTCTCGACATCCATCCAGAGGAGAGGCAGATATTTTGTGAACAAGTCCTGCCATAGCCCTCCAATGAAAACACCTCGGTGGGATTACATGGAGATATTTTCTTTGTCAATCTCAATAAAGCTGTTTGAGCAGAAAACCCAGCTGAAAGCCACTGACAGTTCCTAGGGCTTAGAGCTGGCTTCATTAGTTACTCTACAAAGGGGACTCAGTGTTCTGCTCTTGGAAGCTTCTGGGGGTACTGGCCTTGCCCAGTGGGAGCCATGCCTGTACGTCTCAAGGCCATGTGTGTCGTGGTGGCAGAGAGGCTCAACCCATGACATTCCAAAAGCTTATGGGAAATAGGAAAGTAGCCTACCAGATGGAGATGCCCCAACCCTCAGCAAAAAGTTCCCTTGCCCTCTTCTCTTGCTCAATTTCATTTACTTTGGGCTCTGTTGTCAAAGGCTGCCAAGTTCTTAAACTGATATTTCTGCCTGGTTTTCTGTATGATTCAGAAAGCCCCTTGGCATTATAGAGTTGGTGATCTTCATGAGAAGGTCAATGTCAATGATACCAACCTTCTGGGCCCTTCTCCTCCCAGGAAACTGGGAGCAGAGTGCCTGTCAGGAATCTGTGCTCTCCTTGCTTCTTCTAATCCTGAACCGAGAAAAGTCTTTAGTTTAACATCAGCCAAAATGGCTTGCAAAATTGTATTGACTGTTCCTGAAAAGATCCACAAACGCATACTCTTCAGTGTCAATCTTATAATAAAAACAGAACTAGGAGGCAGAAAATGCTACCTTTCACACAGAAAGAAGCTGAACTCTTTAATTTGGTCCTTGAGGTCAGCACTGTCCAGTGGAAATTTCTGTATTGATCGAACTGTTCTAGATCTGCACTGTATCACGCACAAGGCAGCAACATGTGCAGCTGTTGAGCATTTGAAATGTGGCTGGTATGAGCAGTGACCTAATTCTTAATTTAATTTAGTTTTAATTTAATTTATTTATTTGTTCCTTTATTTTAAGTTTATTTAACTGTAAGTTACTCTAAGCAGCCAATGTTATGAGCAGCTACCATATTGGACAGCACAGGCTCTAGACCCGACCCTTGTGTTTGGTGAACAGACTACATCCCATACCAAACACCCAAAACTCAGGCTGGCGTCCTGACTCAGCAGGTTAAGCCTCCCCCTGCAGTGCACGGCATCCCATGCAGGCACCAGTTCGAATCCTGGTTGCTCCACTTCTGATCCAGCTCCCTGCTAATGCGCTGGGAAAGCAGTGGGAAATGACCCCCCTGCCCTGATGCGGGAGACCCAGGTGGAGTTCTAGGCTCCTGGCTTCAGCCTGCCCCAGTCCTCTCCATTGCAGCCATTTGGGGAGTGACCCAGAGGATGGAAGGCCTCTCTCTCTCTCTCTCTCTATCTTTCTGTAACTCTGACATTCAAATAAATAAATAAATAAATCTTAAAAAATTGCAAAAGTCACTCTGGGTATTTCTTTAGTGCAGCCCGTCTGCATTAAATTCGATTCAACTTTCTTGGTTTACACACACAAAAATATTCATCCATTGATGCATTCAACCATTCCACAAATATTTATTGAACATCTGCTGTGTGCTGAGCATGCTGATCAAAGTTAAGGTTATATCAATGGAAAAGGGGCACCACAGAGCTTTGAGGGCATTTTTTTTAAAGGAGGCATGACCTTGCTGAGGTTGTGGTAATCAGCGGTATGCCTCCTTTTTTTTTTTTTTTTTTTTTGACAGGCAGAGTTAGACAGTGAGAGAGAGACAGAGAAAGGTCTTCCATCCGTTGGTTCACCCCCTAAATGGCTGCTATGGCTGGTGCTGCGCCGATCCAAAGCCAGGAGCCAGGTCCTTCCTCCTGGTCTCCCATGCGGGTGCAGGGCCCAAGCACTTGGGCCATCCTCCGCTGTACTCCCCGGCCACAGCAGAGAGCTGGACTTGAAGAGGAGCAACCAGGGCAGAACCGGTGCCCCGACCGGGACTAGAACCCGGGGTGCCGGCACCGAAGGCGGAGGATTAGCCTAGTGAGCCGTGGCACTGGCCTTGAGGGCATTTTTAAGCTGCAGTTTGCCTTCCATGTCTGTGAGTTCTCCACCTGCGGGTTTAACCAACCTTGGATTGAAAATATTCATAAAAGAAAGCATTACATCTGTACTGGATGTGTACAGGTGTTTTTCCTGTCTCGATTCCCTCTGCAACTACTTACAGGGCATTTACATCGCATTCGGTATCTATAGTCACCTGGGGGTGACTTACAGGATAAGGGAGGAGGCATACAAGTTACATGCCCATTCCGCACCCTTTTATGTAAGGCACTTGAGCATCTGCAGATTTGCTTTCTGTGGGGGACCCTGGATATTGAGCAAGGGACAGATGCACTGTGAAATCAGGAGAACTGTAGCCACTTTCCCACCACTGATCTAGCTATGTCTCTGTAGTAAACTAAATATGTGGCAGGTAGGAATGTAGATGTTCTTAGGGATAAGCCACCCCAGCCAAGTAAGTAGCTGGGTAGACGCAGGCTTTGCTCACAGCTCAGAAGGTGACGATGGGACAGGGAGAAAGAGCCTGCACTCCACGTGGTGGGAGTTATGGATCCTGCGGGCATTAAGTTAAATATGAGCGAGCTCCTCAGAAGCATTCTGGAAAGTATAAGGCATTGATAAATCAGAGCAGGACATTGTTAATGATGCCATGAGCTCCTCTGCTGTGGCCCAGGAAGGCAGTAGGGGATGGCCCAACTGCTTGGACACCTGCACCCGCATGGGAGACCCAGAAGAAGCTCCTGGCTCCTGGCTTCAGATCAGCGCAGCGCCTGCTATAGTGGTCATCCTTGGGTGAACCAACGGAAGGAAGACCTTTCTCTCTGTCTCTCTCTCTCACTGTCTATAACTCTACCTGTCAAATAAATAAGTAAAACTTATATATAAAAAAAAGGAGAATGATGCCATGAGCTCTTGAAACAGACTGAAGCAAGGGCTTGTTGAGTCACCGTAACCAGCACCCCAACCAATGTGGTGTCCCAGAACGCAACCCCACAGCAGACCCGTGGCCCCATACAGAGACGGCAGGACGTGAAGTCAAGAGAGCTGGCCTAGTCCACTGCCGAGAGGGGATTTCAGAGGAGGGAGAAGCAGTGAGCTGAGCAGGAATGTGGCTGATGGCTGGGCGTTAACACTTCACTGACTAAGGGACTTTCCTGGTCACAAATAGTTCACAGTGGCCTCAGGTGAACACTGGGTCCCGTCCCTTACAGAGCGGGAGCAAGGAGGGGACCGTGATGGTTTCAAGGCAGCCTCCCAAAGCTCATGTGTTGGAAACTTAACCCCAGAATTCATGCTCATGATATCTGGAGGAAGACCTGTGGGAGGTCCTTAGGATTAGATGAGGTTACGAGGGTGGGGCCCCCACGATGGCGTTCGTGGCTATGTAAGAAGAAGAGAGACCAGAGCTGGCACTCTCGCTGTGTCTTGCCATGGGACACCCTCTGCCGTGCCATGACACAGCACAAACCCCCGCATCAGGTGCCAGTGCCACGCCCTTGGACGTGCCAGCCCCAAGACTCAAGTATTCAGTTATAGTAACAGAACACAGACCCAGACAGGGACTGGGACCCACCTCTGCCCAAAGCACATTCCTAAGGCACCATCTCCAAGGGCTGAAATGCCGTGGCTTTCACTCCAGGGCCCCACAAGAGTACTTGGATCTGTAGGAAGAGCAGTGGGACTCTCTTCTAGTACGTAGGGCCTGCTCTGAGGTTCCCGGTGGTTCCTTCCCCCAGGAGTCCTGAGTCTAAGGGGGGCACAGTGACTGTAGACTTGGGGCCCTCGGCCCCCTAACACGTCCCTGGTGCTTTCTACACCCTCAGGAGAGCAGCCATCTGGACCCACACAGCCTGAGGACTCCGCATGCCAACTCTGCCTGTAGCCCTTTCCTTTTTCCTTCGGGTTAACAACATTTGCACGAAACGGGACCTCTGGTCTCCGCCTTGTTCCCCTCCTCTCTCTCTAGCCAGGTCCCTCCCTCCCAGGCCATGGCCCCAAACATCAGCTAAGCAACCCCCTAGCACCCCAACTCTAAGAAGCAGCTGCTCACTGTTAGGACACTTCACTCTGCCCCAGCCCCCTGAAGGAAGGGCTGACCACATAATACCAGCCCAAGCCAAGTCCCAGCTGTCAGCATTGCCAGACCTAATCGAGAAAGATTGGATCTCAAACATTTACTCTTCTAACCCAAAGGGGCAATGGCACTTTAGTCCTGGAAGGGCTTTTCTTTCCCACTCAGCAGATTAACTCTCCTATTTGCTTTAAATTTAGGATAATGTTAAAATATTTACAGAAATCCACCTGAGACAAGTAGGGGAAGAAGAAGGGGACCAAAAGTATATTAGAACCACAGTCAGGCCAGCCTAGGAGAGACGAGGTTGACTACATTTATGGGCTCTTGCTCTTTGATCCCATGTAGTTTGTTCTGTGATGTCTCTGATTTCATTTCAGAGGCCACAACCTCTGTAAGTGCCAAGGGAAGGCATGCGCAGTTAGGAAAGGTGCTCTCTTTAGACATCATTACTTGTTGTGACAATGGGTTGGCTCTTTCAGACCTATGTGGGTCCCCTGAGAGCTTTGGGGAGCACACCGTTCAGTTTGGAGACAGATTGTTGCTGCTTGGAGTGCACACACACACACACACACACACACATGCCCCAGTACGGTCAACTTGGCTGTGTTCGAAAACAAAGCATTAGAGAGTCAGCAGAAACCACACTGCAGATTTTGAGTTTTGATCTTCTCCTGAGCTATGGATATGTGCTTCAACCTCTCTTGTTGTGTTGGAAGGGCCGCGGCAGCAAGTGCAGCTCCCGTGCCATCTGCGCCAAGCTGGGATGTGAGGCTCGTTAGCTGGAGATATGCATCTCCAGCTCATTGTGTTTTCAACTTGCGATGGGTTTATCGGGAGGTAAGCCCACTGCAAGCGGAGGGTCATCTATTTCCAGAGCTGGCTTCCCTACAAAGCCCATTATGGGTCAGAGAGTTTCTGGGACGACTGCTCTGTGCACTGATGAGGCAC